ACAGGCCATCAGGACCAGTGCTCAGGGAGCGGCGTCCATTGTAAGTGATTTTCATCAGCATTTGAAATGCCCGCAAAACCTTTTTGACGTTAATAGCCCTTTAAATCCCCTTCTCCATTGAAGGCAGTTGGCCCTTTAAATCCCCTTCTCCATGGAAGGCAGTTGGCCCTCTAAATCCCCTTCTCCATGGAAGGCAGTTGGCCCTTTAAATCCCCTTCTTCTCCATTGAAGGCAGTTGGCCCTTTAAATCCCCTTCTTCTCCATTGAAGGCAGTTGGCCCTTTAAATCCCCTTCTTCTCCATTGAAGGCAGTTGGCCCTTTAAATCTCCTTCTCCATAGAAGGCAGTTGGCCCTTTAAATCCTGTCCCTTTAATTTCACACATCCGAGCTGGTTCTCTCCATAAACCTTTGGCGCTGCGATTCCGGGAGCATCAAGACGATCCGTGACATTGACGGATGGAACCCAGCGGAGTCGTGTACGTTTCACTACAGCTCCGAGTCTCCGCACTTAGATTTGCAAATCTAATTAGGTAAAATCACAGACATTATCCCATTTAAACTTTGCTTTCCAGACGATATTATGCCGGCGAAGGAGTTTAAATGAAATTGTTTTCCTTAATCCGCGGGACGAGTTAACAAATTTGTCTCGGACAACACTTTTGAAATATGACTTGCGCGAAAATGTCCAAAAACGGGCAGCAAATGCGAGCGTCAGACAAAAATAAAACCGTTTCCAGGATTTACGGGGAGACACCTGTCGGCTTTTTTCTAATCTATAAGCAGCGGAAGGTGAAAAGATTAAAATGTATATAAACCCAGGAATGAAAATGTAACAAATTGTAGCTTTCTAGTCCTTGGATGTGGCGGCTGCATTAGTTTTCTTTTCAGGCTTCTGCTCCCTTTATTTTCACCTGGTGATCCTGCCAGTAAAACACTTCCTGTCCTGGGGTGACTACGCTCACTCACTGTACAGTATCTATGGAGAAGCAACATCCTAAAGCTGGCCATACACCTTACAATTATCTGCAGATTTTCTGTGGTCACACTTAACTGTGTGGATGGAGGAATCTCCACCTTGGCCAATCTGTTGCACTTTTTCCATCTGACCACAGAAAATCTGCAGATAATTGTAAGGTGTATGGGCACCTTAACGACAGGACTACAGAATACTCCTTCGCCATAACATGGGGGGTGCGGGGTGTAGTCAGCAGAGAGCTGGTTACAATGTAAATGGTAATACCTCCACTTCTCCATAACATAGTCCACATGGAGCTGGTAATTCCTTCTACTGGGACTAACTGCCTTGCCATAGGAGAGATTACTAATATATATATATAATAGTTATGAAGCATCGGACGCCCTCAAACTGTATGCTTGGCCCCTGGACTGTGCAATGCTGATTGTTGGCATTCTCATGTCTGTGTTGTAGTACACAGAGAGCTGGGAACAATGTAACTGCTGATAAATCCCCTTCACCATAACATGAGGGCGATGGGTTGTAGTCCACAGAATGCTGGGAACAATGTAACCGGTGATACCTCCCCTTCTCCGTAATCTTGGCGGGGAAGGGGGTTGTTGTAGTCAGCAGTTGCATTGTTCCCAGTTCTCTGCAAAACACCTCCACTGCTCCATAACTGTGTGTGTTTTATAGTCCACAGAGCTTGGAACAATGTAACTGGTAATACCTCCACTTCACCATGACATGGGGGCGATTTGGGTTGTAGTCCAGAGAGCTGGGAACAATGTAACTGGCAATACTTCCCTTTCCCATAATATTCAGGGGGGAAAGGGGGATGTGGTCCACAGAGAGCTGGGAACAATGTAACTGGTAATCCCTCCCCCCTGTCCATAACATTGGGGAGGGGGGGGGGTGTGTAGTTCAGATTGCTTTCTAGGCTTAGACTTGCTAGGCTACAGCTTACTATGAGAGGGCACATTGAACAAAAGATCGCTTTTCTGTGCTTTTAAAAGTAGACGTCTAGTCTAAGTGGATGACCTTTAGTTTGCGCTGCGTATTATATATATATATATAGCCTTTTTGTAAAATACTATTTTGACTTTTTTAATGCTTTTGTTACATCTCCGTGCTTCTCATCTCCTGCACCCTTCTTGCAGCCACTTCCTGTCTACATGCACTCCAGCGATGGTGACGTGGCATTTCTCAGGGAGGGTTTCCGACCGGTGACAACAGTGGACCGTGTGTGTGTATGGGGTGTTTGAAATGGCCACTTGTAGTCTTTGTTGGAAGCCCTTGTGACAGAGTGACAACGCAGGAGAGCAATTGGGAGACGAGGACAGAGCGTTGTCGCCCTGTAACGGGAAGCGCTTAAAGAGGGCCTTCATTGCGGGATCGCCGGGTTTTGATAAGTTGCAATTTGCATTTTTTTTTTCTGATGTACCAAATTAGTTTTTTGCATCTTCAGCTTATTCTCGGGGCCACTTGTACAGGAGGCTTCTGCAGAGCATGCGTAAAGGCTTTCAGCAGTTTTGTTGAACGATTTGCCGCAACCCTTCGGCTGCAGTGTAGGGATGTTAAATCAATACAGATCATTCCTGAAACTTGGGAAAATCTTTCCAGCATCCTGTGTACAGTGACAGTCCACAGCACCATGATCTGTGTATAAGATCCCCAAACTGGAGCCGAACAGTGCCCCAGCAATGCGGCTTGAGCCCCGCTCAAATCTTTGCACATGCATTGTATAAAGTCGCTGTACCCTCCGCTGTGATAAAAGCTGAAGCCCATGTGTACAAGCCAGCCTACAAATTTACATTAAGGCCAGACGGTGATTGCAGACCATCAGCTACAATTCTGATGGTGACACACACCACGGTCATCGTACAGTAGCCTGGCGGGAGGACGCCCCCCACATCCGCATGGATGGGGACATTTTTTTGTGTGTGTTCTTTCAGTGAGGCTGAACGAGAAACCACATAGTGGGTCTATATCTTATACTATACTGGGGTTCCTGTATACTATTGAACATTAATTTTGTGCAAAAAGAGGCAAAAACAAACACTTTTGGTGCATTCTCTATTTTTCAGGTCAAATGTATTACATCATCATGGCCACTAGATGGAGCACAAGTCAATGAGTATTTCCTTTTGCTCCTCAGCTCCATGTAGTGGCCATATTGCGGCATTACATTACATTTGACCTGGAAAGAGAACCTGGTGATGTTGTGACGTTGCATCCTTTGTTTTTGTTTTTTCTTTTCTTGCAGTCGTTCCACTGTCCCTCGCCGAAGAAAATGCCGTTTAGAAAAATGGATCCGAGTTGCACAATTGGATTTTATTGCAGAAACGCACAAGACTTTCGGAAGGTTGAGGAAGAGCTCACAAAGGTAAATACAGAGATGTTTACAGATTGCGCTCCCTTTTAAAGTTGTCATTTGAGAGCGGGGGGGATGTAGGAGGGATGTGTAAAAATTATGGTTTCAGTTCCCCAAAATTTTGGTAAAAATCCGATTTTGGTGAAATGCATTGGAATCAATGGGGCGACATTCAGGTATATCTAGATGAAACGGGGGAGCCGGTGAGCCTCTGTCAGGTGTGTTATTGGTGTGTACCTGCCGGGGAGATCACTTTGTTTGACCACTGACACTGAACGTGGGGGGAGCGCCAACATTTTTAGGTTGTCACTGAAAAGGGATAGAGGTAGAATCTTCAAATAGGGACACTGGTTCCAGTGATGAGGATTTACCTTCTTTTGGGAAAAATCTCCTCTTACACTCTAATGTGTCTGCTGACAGGAAGTGAAGGAAAGTTTCCCCACAGTGTGCTGAAAACAATGTAACCAACAAGATTTTTCTATCTGACCTCCGTCCTCCCCTTCAGTCTTGTATCTGACCTCCGTCCTCCCCTTCAGTCTTGTATCTGACCTCCGTCCTCCCCTTCAGTCTTGTATCTGACCTCCGTCCTCCCCTTCAGTCTTGTATCTGACCTCCGTCCTCCCCTTCACTTCAGTCTTGTATCTGACCTCCGTCCTTCCCTTCAGTCTTGTATCTGACCTCCGTCCTTCCCTTCAGTCTTGTATCTGACCTCCGTCCTTCCCTTGCGTCTTGCACAGTTGTACCGGCTCCTCTCTTGAACTGAAATGGCTTCCTCTGATATCATTGCACACTGCGAACTTCTCACAATGTGCATTAGAAGATGCAGCAAGTCAGAGCCCAACTCATTTCCTGGCTGGAAGATGTCCAGTGTCATCTAGAACTTTCCTCCCTGTCCTGTCCATGTCTTTCATGAGATTTCAGTTCTTTCAATCATGGAGGCTCAGCATCACATGTGGGCGTTACCTAGGGGGGGAGGGGGGGGCTGCATTCAAATACAGCCTGCCTAGGAACACCCACTCATCCAGATATTTGAATGACTCCTCCTAAGAGACCGCCCACTACTAGCATCAAGGCTGGGGGCTCTTTAGAGAAGTACTGAGGAAGGGTTCTGAGATGTTTTCAGGAAGCTATGTACAGCCCCATGCTGGCCCCTCCCACCAGCCATGATCTGCTTGGGTTGGATAGAGAAGCACAGGGACCCCGTAATGTTACTTTGACAAAAATGAGTTCTGTAAACTCAAACTGTTTAATTTAAGTGTTTCCTAAGCCTGTTGCTGAGAAGGCAAATTATAAGCCGATTAAACTGGGGATGCATCGATATATCGGACGCCGAAACATATCAGCCGAAAGTGCCATTTTTCTGCCCGAAATAGCGGTGCATCTGTTCTTTCTCTCCTCCCCGCTGAGCAGAAGAGAGAAATTGTCCCAGGCGGCTGAGCGCTGCGGCAGGAGAGTGCTGTGAGCGGCCGGCGTCTCTCCTCCCACACCACTCAGCCTCCTGTCACGGATCAAAGGAGAGCAGTGTGGGCGGAGATGGCCAGCGCTGTCACAGGAGGCTGAGCTCTCCTCCCGCACCGCTCGCTCAGCCTCCTGTGACAGTGTGTCGGGATGGAGAGCGGGTACAAGCAGTCATGCATAATTGAGGACAGAGTATGGTTACTATATCCTCAATGATGAATGAATGGGAAGTGATCTACATCCCCTCCTGTTCCCTATTTTAAAAGGGAAATCCGAAGCCCCTAAAAGTAAAAAAGAAAAATCTTTAATAATAATGAATAAATAAAATTAAATATAAAAGATGAAAATAAATATTTGAAAAGGTTATGTTCTACATTGTAATATCCAATCTTGTATTCTAGTAAAAAAAAATAATTCTGAATAATGTCAGCATCACAGTTCTATCAATAAAGGAAGAGGTAAAATGTTCAATATTTTTTTCAGCAGTCTAAAGCAGATTTGCTTATTTTATTTACTTTGGGTTGGTTTTATTGTTTTTATCCTTTAATATTTAGACCTAGTGTTTTCCTTTTTTTAATTTCCTCCTTAAGTATTAGAGAATTATCATTAGCAGCGTGTGTTCGTGCGTGTGTGTTCATTCTGGAACCTGTGACGACATCACCAAGTCTCTTGGCTTCTCTATACAATGCAGGCAGATCATGGAGGGGTCGGCAGGGGGCTGTACATAGCTTCCTGAACACATCACAGCACCCTGCCTCAGTATTACTCCCAAGAGCCCTCAGTCCTGATGCAAAGTGTGCTGGCTATTGGGAGGGGTTATGCAAATATCAAAATATCAAAATGTCAAAATGTCAAAATGTCAAAATGTCAAAATGTCAAAATGTCTTAATGGGTAGATGTGGATCTGGAGGAGTGGGTGGGCCTAGGCAGGCTGTATTTGCATACAAGCCACCCTAGTTAACAGCCACATGTGGTGCTGAGCCTCTATGATTGCAATAATCAAAATCCAATGACTGAATGGGGTGGGCCAGGGACAGTCTGGCTTGGAAGGAAAGTGCTAGATGCTGCGAAATGTCCTCCCAGCCAGGAAATGAGGCGGACTCTAACTGACTTGCTGCACCTTCTTCTGCATATTGTGAGAAGCTCCCAGTGTGCAGTGACATCAGAGGAAGCAATTTCAGTCCAGGAGAGGAACTGGTACAACTGTGTGTAAGACGCAAGGGAAGGACTGGGGTCAGAGAGAAGACTGAAGGGAAGGACGGAGGTCAGATAGCAGACGGAAGGGAAGGACGGAGGTCAGATAGCAGACGGAAGGGAAGGACGGAGGTCAGATAGCAGACGGAAGGGAAGGACGGAGGTCAGATAGCAGACGGAAGGGAAGGACGGAGGTCAGATAGCAGACGGAAGGGAAGGACGGAGGTCAGATAGCAGACGGAAGGGAAGGACGGAGGTCAGATAGCAGACGGAAGGGAAGGACGGAGGTCAGATAGCAGACGGAAGGGAAGGACGGAGGTCAGATAGCAGACGGAAGGGAAGGACGGAGGTCAGATAGCAGACGGAAGGGAAGGACGGAGGTCAGATAGCAGACGGAAGGGAAGGACGGAGGTCAGATAGCAGACGGAAGGGAAGGACGGAGGTCAGATAGCAGACGGAAGGGAAGGACGGAGGTCAGATAGCAGACGGAAGGGAAGGACGGAGGTCAGATAGCAGACGGAAGGGAAGGACGGAGGTCAGATAGCAGACGGAAGGGAAGGACGGAGGTCAGATAGCAGACGGAAGGGAAGGACGGAGGTCAGATAGCAGACGGAAGGGAAGGACGGAGGTCAGATAGCAGACGGAAGGGAAGGACGGAGGTCAGATAGCAGACGGAAGGGAAGGACGGAGGTCAGATAGCAGACGGAAGGGAAGGACGGAGGTCAGATAGCAGACGGAAGGGAAGGACGGAGGTCAGATAGCAGACGGAAGGGAAGGACGGAGGTCAGATAGCAGACGGAAGGGAAGGACGGAGGTCAGATAGCAGACGGAAGGGAAGGACGGAGGTCAGATAGCAGACGGAAGGGAAGGACGGAGGTCAGATAGCAGACGGAAGGGAAGGACGGAGGTCAGATAGCAGACGGAAGGGAAGGACGGAGGTCAGATAGCAGACGGAAGGGAAGGACGGAGGTCAGATAGCAGACGGAAGGGAAGGACGGAGGTCAGATAGCAGACGGAAGGGAAGGACGGAGGTCAGATAGCAGACGGAAGGGAAGGACGGAGGTCAGATAGCAGACGGAAGGGAAGGACGGAGGTCAGATAGCAGACGGAAGGGAAGGACGGAGGTCAGATAGCAGACGGAAGGGAAGGACGGAGGTCAGATAGCAGACGGAAGGGAAGGACGGAGGTCAGATAGCAGACGGAAGGGAAGGACGGAGGTCAGATAGCAGACGGAAGGGAAGGACGGAGGTCAGATAGCAGACGGAAGGGAAGGACGGAGGTCAGATAGCAGACGGAAGGGAAGGACGGAGGTCAGATAGCAGACGGAAGGGAAGGACGGAGGTCAGATAGCAGACGGAAGGGAAGGACGGAGGTCAGATAGCAGACGGAAGGGAAGGACGGAGGTCAGATAGCAGACGGAAGGGAAGGACGGAGGTCAGATAGCAGACGGAAGGGAAGGACGGAGGTCAGATAGCAGACGGAAGGGAAGGACGGAGGTCAGATAGCAGACGGAAGGGAAGGACGGAGGTCAGATAGCAGACGGAAGGGAAGGACGGAGGTCAGATAGCAGACGGAAGGGAAGGACGGAGGTCAGATAGCAGACGGAAGGGAAGGACGGAGGTCAGATAGCAGACGGAAGGGAAGGACGGAGGTCAGATAGCAGACGGAAGGGAAGGACGGAGGTCAGATAGCAGACGGAAGGGAAGGACGGAGGTCAGATAGCAGACGGAAGGGAAGGACGGAGGTCAGATAGCAGACGGAAGGGAAGGACGGAGGTCAGATAGCAGACGGAAGGGAAGGACGGAGGTCAGATAGCAGACGGAAGGGAAGGACGGAGGTCAGATAGCAGACGGAAGGGAAGGACGGAGGTCAGATAGCAGACGGAAGGGAAGGACGGAGGTCAGATAGCAGACGGAAGGGAAGGACGGAGGTCAGATAGCAGACGGAAGGGAAGGACGGAGGTCAGATAGCAGACGGAAGGGAAGGACGGAGGTCAGATAGCAGACGGAAGGGAAGGACGGAGGTCAGATAGCAGACGGAAGGGAAGGACGGAGGTCAGATAGCAGACGGAAGGGAAGGACGGAGGTCAGATAGCAGACGGAAGGGAAGGACGGAGGTCAGATAGCAGACGGAAGGGAAGGACGGAGGTCAGATAGCAGACGGAAGGGAAGGACGGAGGTCAGATAGCAGACGGAAGGGAAGGACGGAGGTCAGATAGCAGACGGAAGGGAAGGACGGAGGTCAGATAGCAGACGGAAGGGAAGGACGGAGGTCAGATAGCAGACGGAAGGGAAGGACGGAGGTCAGATAGCAGACGGAAGGGAAGGACGGAGGTCAGATAGCAGACGGAAGGGAAGGACGGAGGTCAGATAGCAGACGGAAGGGAAGGACGGAGGTCAGATAGCAGACGGAAGGGAAGGACGGAGGTCAGATAGCAGACGGAAGGGAAGGACGGAGGTCAGATAGCAGACGGAAGGGAAGGACGGAGGTCAGATAGCAGACGGAAGGGAAGGACGGAGGTCAGATAGAAGACCGAAGGGAAGGACGGAGGTCAGCATCAATTGGTGGGTCGGGATTAGGACAGTTTTTTGGGGTTTTAATTTGTCCGGCTTGTAGTGTGTGCCCGCGGCCTTCCTCCAACCCAGCGCAGAGCTCTCGTGTTTTGCGTTTTTAAGCTGTTCTCAGGACTTGTCTCTCTTTTTCCTTCTTTCAGGTTCTAAAGTCTTCCAGCAAACAAAACTATCCATTATTTACCTTCGTCAACGGACACGCTCAAGACTTTGATTTGGCTTGCTCGCCGCTCTTCGAGCAGTCTGACCTTTTCATGGAGGAGGACGAGAAGAGATTAAATAGCTACAGCGCAGAGGACTTTGTCTTGCTGTAAAGTTTCCTTCGGTTCCGGCAATCTTCTCCGAACGTTCCTCCACCGGCAGATCCTACAACACTAGACTCTTATTCTTCATTATTTTTACCATCTCTGTTTTTTTTTTTTTAAATAAAAATTTTATTGTTTTTAGCCCTCTTAAGAAAAAAAATTCGCTATTTTAAGAAACCTGGATGTGTTTTGTAAGGTGGTCACACCAGAGACTGTGCTTGTGGGAGGCTCCTCAGAGCTCCTCAGAGCTTCTCTGAGTCTCTGGACCTGGAATGGTCACCGTTCAGAGCTTCACTGTGACTTGGGACATTTTTGGACAATTTTGAGATATTTGCATTTCTAGATTTGATGGCTACCAAAAAAAATAAATCACAAGGTGGATTTAGATGGTGAACTCAATGGTTCATATTATTCTAGAGATGGGTTACTGGCCTGTTGTGGTAGGGTGGTGCACCTATGATTTTGGTTTGTAGGTGGTCCAAGTCTTTGAATAGAACCTGAAGGCCAGAACTTTTTTTTATTTTTTTATTATCCCACTTTTTTTGGCCATCTGTGTCTTATTGGGGATATTTCCCTTTTACTTCCTGTTCAACAGGTAGTGAGAGGAAATCATTCCAAGGTGAGGGAAATCCCTGGTGGGCATGTAGGGTCACAAGAACTGGTGTCCCGATTTGGAGGAATTTTGATCTATTCCTGTGCTGGTGACAACCCTAAAGGGAGGGCTATAGCCCATCTGTAACCCATTGGGGAGTTTTCTCCTTGACTTCCTGTCCAATAGCATCCACAGGAAGTGAGAGAATAGCCTTCCAAGGTGAGGGAAATCCCTGGTGGTCAGCATGGTCACCTGAACCAGTGTCCCTATTGGAAGATTTCCCATGTATTCCTGTGCTGATGACAGCTGGAAACGGAGGGCTAGAACCCATCTGTGCCCCATTGGGGAGCTCTCCTCCTTGACCTTCTATCCAATCACTTCAACAGGAAGTGAAAGAAAATCCTTCCAAGGTGATGGCAATCCCTGGGAGTCACCAGAACTAGTTTTACCTTTTTGCAAGGTTTTCCATCTATTCCGATGACGACCCAAAAGGGAGGTCTGAACCATTGGGGATATTTTCCCTTCTCTTCCTGTCCAATGGCCACAACAGGAATTGAGAGGAAATCCTTCCAAGGTGAGGGAAATCCCTGGTGGTCACCAGAACTAGTGTACCCTGTGAAAGATTTTCCATTCCTGTTCTGGTGACAACCCAAAATGTGGGTTTTCACTTAGTGATAATGGTCACTGAGACAAATAGATTTTAATCTCCCTAATGGGGGGACATAGACTGGAATCAAAATGTGACGCAGGTCCTAATATCTCTCTCCGCTCCATCCAAAACTTAAAGGTTTTGGATTCAGTTGCACTTTAACTGCTGATGTGAAAAAAGTAAGTACACCTTATGGAAATCGTTCTGAAATATTAGATCAGTGGTGGGCAACTCCGGCACTCTAGCTCTGGTGAAACTGCAAGGCCCATCATGCCTGTGGTTGTCAGAATCTTGCAATGCCTTATGGGACTTGAAGTTCCACAGCAGCTGGCTAACTTGTGAAGATTGGTCACCTGAAGCCCCTTTTCTTGTAATTCCACAACTGCTAGAGTGTTGAGGTTGCATACCCCGGCATTAGATCTTCATTTGAACATTGTCTATGGATAAAGGTGATCTACTTGAACAAATGAAGGTGTATTCACCCTCATGTGCTAAAGTAAAGAAAAAGCACATTGGTCATGTGGAAAAAGTAAGTACACCCCTCTATCACCTTCAAATTCATGATCTTGGAATCTGGTTTACCAGATTAGGTGCCAATGATTACATCCTCCGTACAGAGTGATCCGGGTGAGTGCGGTCTTATTTAACGTCCGATATCTAGGGGTTGGTGTTGACTTGAGTGGTGCCCTTGTGTAAAGATCTATAGAGCTCCCTAAGAGTAGATTGAGCATCCCTATGAGTCCAGCCAATTATTTTAAATCAACTGTCGCAATGGAAGGAAAATAATCTACAATTGGTGAAGATTTCAAACAACTAATTTGTCCGGAACTGGTCAGGTTGGCAAATTAAGCTCATTTCATGCTCAAAGAAGTCTCCAAGAACCTTGAAACGTCCTCCCTGGGGTGTGCGGGTAACTCTTCCAACAACTGGTGTCAATGTGCATACATCTACAATCAGGAGGAGCTGGCACCAATTGAACCTTCATGTGAAGTGTGCCAGGGAGAAGCTTTTGCTATCCAAAAAAATGCACATTAGAGCAGAACTTTGCCTTTGAAGCTATAAGCAAAGTCCAGACAGTCTGAGATAACGTGCTATGGACTGATGCATCAAAGGCAGGGATGGTTTAAGAAGAGAAGTTGTTCACTATTAATACGTTTTACTTAGGGATGCACCGATACTGAGTATTTGGCCGAGTACTTGTACTCGTCCAAATGCTCGCATGCCTAGCCTGATACCCGAACTTCAGGTATCAGGAAGCTGGTCAGCGAGACATTACACACTGCCTGGCTTCTTGATTAGCCGTGAAGCCGGCTCCATGCTCCCTCGTCAATTGGTGTAATAACTCACTGCCTGGTCTCGTGATTGGTCGGGAAGATGACCATTGAGGAAGCTGGTCAGCGCATCGTTACCTGGCTTCCTGATTAGCCAGAAAGCCGTCTTCATGCTCTCTCATCGTCACCTGGTGACAAGGGAGCATGGAGCCGGCTTCCCAGCCAATCAGGAAGCCGGGTGCCGTGGAATGACTTGCCACCTGGCTTCCAGATTGTTCGAGAAGCTGGACAGGAAGCCAGGCGGCGAGTCATTACCCCTTTCCCCAGCTTGCTAATTGGCCAGAAAGCCAGCTCCATGCTTCCTCGTCACCTGGTGACTGCTTCCTGGCTAATCAGGAAGCCAGGTGGTGAGTCATTAGACACCGCCTGGCTTCCTTAATGGGACTTCTGGTATCGGCATTCAGTATCGGTGAGTACTGAAAAAAAAACTATTGATCCTCGATACTGAAAAACCGGTATCGTTGCATCCCTAGTTTTAATCCACAAAACTTCCCGCTTACGACATGGCTGCCCTGGGCTTAGTCATAGAGATCTCTACCACTAACTCTCTATGGGTGAAATTAATGAGAGGGGGCGGCCACTGGGCGGGGAATCCCATCACGTTGGAAGTTGAAAGTTTCAAGGATTAAAAACGTATCAATGGTGAACAGTGGAGTGCGGCTTTTCTCTTCTCATTTTGCTATTGAAGCAGCATGGTCAGCTCTTGGCTGCATACACCCAGGTGTTGGAGACTGATGATGGATGGAGCATCTCTACATTTATCTACACAGGGATAGTTCAGCTACAGTAACAATAGACACGTATGGCGCGGTTTTTCTATAAGAAGAACCTCATACCAACTGTGAAGCATGGGGGTGCAAATATCATGGTTTGGGGCTGCTTGGGCCGTTTTAAACTGTCTAATCGACTATGAATTCTGCATCATATCAAAGCGTGAGGGATAAGAACATGAGAACCATCTGTCTAAGAGTTGGAAGTTGGACCAGAAATGGATATCGCAACATGATAATGATCCAAGGCACACATTCACACACCAAAGAATGTCTCAAAAAGAAGAATTTGAGGGATATGGACTGGGCTAGTCCTGATTTAAATCCCATTGAAATGCTGTAGGGAGGTTTTAAATGGGCAGTTCATGCAAGGAAACCTACACTGCTTTGTAACAGAAGGACTTCAGCATAAAGAAGTGGTCCTAAACCAGTCAGGGGCTGGTGGGCATTTATGCAAAACGCTTTCAAAGAAGGTGTTTAGTAGTTCGTTAATCTGCATCTCTCATTAAAAGAATGCCTTATGATCCTCCCACGAAGGTCCTTGTTCAGTCACTTCCTGTTATGGGGTGACATCTGTCTCCCAGTTGTGTTCCTGTGTTGTCACTCTGTCACAGCGCCCCCTGGTGGAAACCATAAGCAGCTTTGCTGACACCCAAGCGCACCTATGGCTCACCTTTGTCACCATTGGGGAGCTGGTCCGGAGCAACGATCAGCAGCCCACGCTGGAGGGAGTGCATGTAGACAGGAAGTGGCTGGACGAGGCTACTGGAGATCAGAAGCACTGAGATGCCACAAAAAGTGATAACAGTAAAGGGAAGAAAAATAACACGGCAATTGTTTTATACGTGGAGTTTTATCAAACTAAATGTCGAGTTTACATCTACTTGAACACTTCTGTCGGGTTTTCGCCCCGTCCGTTTGGACTGCGCCGCTTGTCCGAAAACAAAATTCATGGCCCCGGCCCGAGGCGGGAGATGTTTAATGTAAATGAATGTCTGTTTTACAAGACTTCACAGTGTTCCGATGCTTGTGTTTATGCAAATAGCAAATTCTTTGCCCGATATTAAGGCCGGCTTTTGCCTTCCACCCGTATGGGAAAAAATTGCCTTTTTCTTTGCCGATCAACAATGAACAGAGGAATCGATTCAGCGTCTCCGGCGAGGGAATGAAGCAACAGTGGAATTATTTTAATTATAACCAAATAGCGTTTGCACTCTGAAAGATGTTTTGTGTTCTTGTTTTTCGGGGACTGCAGAAGGAATGACAAATTGTAAGCGCAATGGCATGCTCCACATTTG